TTACGTTTCCATTGAATGGGAACAAAACTTAGAAAATGTAAGTACTGACCTTCTTGTGCTGCAGGGCCAATGCTGATGAATAGGTTATTTGCGTGTCCGAAACAATATGATAACGCCGAAAGAGTAGACTGGACTTCGTTAGGCGTTGAATTTCTAACTAACAAGATCGCGTGTTCGAGTCCTGAGTGGTGTACCATTTCCGGGGTTGGGTATGGTAGGCTGATGACGGCTTGTAAGCCAAACATAGCCATTCTAGTCTTCCTTGTCTTTGCCTGGTAATGCATTCCTGCCTATCATATATGCTAGCCGTTGAGTGGCGGGACGCGAGATCGGAGCCCCAGGCACAACAGGACGAGTGAGATCCGTAACCGCTCGGTGAGCGCCTGTCTATCATTCTTTATAATTTAATAATCAAAACAATATAGATTATAATATGTTAGGGGTTTGACGGATTTCAATAATTCGATTGACTCAATTGTAAATAATTCGTGGCCTCAGTGGAAGTCGAACCCACACAGCAGGGAAGGCTTCTGCGCGGCCAACGCTCTACCAGTTGAGCTACGAGGCTCACCGTGCGCCGTGAATTTAATCACGCTTGGATCGATTTGTTTGCCCAACTTTGCTGCACGTATGGAATCCACCAATAAAAACGCAGTAAGCTGATTGCGAGGCAGGATTTCTTAATTAGTCATCACATATGTGTGTAATACACATGTTGATGATATCTTAACGGCTTGTCTCAACGAAAAAACTGAAGTATTTACTGCAAAAACCGAGAGAATGTATCAACTGCGTTCCTTGAGGCCGCGGAGGCTGATTAAAATTGCCCCCAACTCTGGAGAATGTACGGAGTATAGCTACCAGCGCAAGGGTTCTTCTTCGTCACACTCAAAAGCACCTCCAGCCATCCCAATTACTTCTTACTAACCACGGAATCATCCAGGCAGGATGTGTTGTTGAGAAATTTTCATGTAAGAAGGGCAGCTTCCTCTAGGAGGGAACAGCCGCAAGGCAATAAGGGACTAATAGCCAGGGATTGTGGTTTGACTATCAGAAACGTTCGATGTTGCGGTTTGGCGCATCCATTCTGAGGGAATTAGCACGCAGCGGTAGGATGCGAAAAATTTGTACCTTCTGCCACCCCTCTGTTGTTTTTTGAAAAGGTTTACGTGAGCAATTAGGTTTTACGAGTGGAACTGTTTTAAAGTGTATGTGGGCGACGTTCCACACAAGAAGGTGATACAACTTGATTTCTTGCTCAGCTAGCACTCACCTTGTAATTTTACGCTGCTTCTTAGTTCTGACGTAACGTGAGAATAGCTTCGAGTTTTGTCCAGATGACATGGGGTGAAGTGAGAGTCTGTAAGCACTCGGTGAGTGTTCATCCACTAATATATATATATATATATATATATATA